GGGGGGGGGCTGGGTGGCACGTGAGGGAGGAGCGGGGGGCTGGCTGGGGCTCCCCCCTCGCCGGCACCCACCCCTCGCTCTTCCCAGGTCTCGCAGGGCATGGTGGGCCAGCTGGCCGCCCGCCGCGCCGCCGGCGTCATCCTGGAGATGATCAAGGAGGGGAAGATCGCGGGCCGGGCCGTCCTCATCGCTGGCCAGCCGGGCACCGGCAAGACGGCCATCGCCATGGGTATGGCACTGGGGGGCTCCCTCTAAGGCACCTGGGGGGCCCCTGTTGGGAACCGATCACACCCTTGGCCTGGGGACCCCTCCTCCGCTCCTCCTCTTGACAAGTACAGGGCCTCCTGGACTCCTCCCCCACAGGAATCCCCCTCCCCCATCCTGGAATCCTGCTCCCCCCCCAGGAACCCCCCCCCCCCCCCATGTGCTGGGATCCCCCCTACCCTGGGAATCCCTCCCACCCTGGCACTCTCCTCTGGGCCCCTCGAGGGAGTTGCCATGCCCAGAGCAGTGGCTGAGGAGTGGGGGTCCCCAGCCGTCCACTCCCCTGTGTAACCAGCTCTCCCCCATGCCCCCAGGCATGGCGCAGGCGCTGGGGCTGGACACGCCCTTCACCGCCATCGCCGGCAGCGAGATCTTCTCCTTGGAAATGAGCAAGACAGAGGCGCTGACCCAGGCCTTCCGGCGCTCCATCGGCGTGCGCATCAAGTGAGGGGCGGGGCCCGGACGCTGGGGTCCTGTCTCCAGCTCTGGGAGGAGAGGGGGGCTGGTGGGTTAGAGCACGGGGGGCTGGGAGCCAGGACTCCTGGGTTCTCTCCCCGGCTCTGGGATGGGAGTGGAGTTGAGTGGTTAGACCGGGGGCTGGGAGGCAGGAGGGCATTGGTTGCCCTGCCGTGCGTGGGTGCTGCACTGGGCACAGAGCTGCCCCCTGCTGGGAGTGGTGGGGGAAGCTGGTTTCTGTCCCTGGGGACTGTGGCGCGGCGGGTGGGGGTGAGGGCTGTCCCCCCTGACCTCCCCTCCTCTTTCCCCACAGGGAGGAGACCGAGATCATCGAGGGGGAAGTGGTGGAGATCCAGATTGACCGCCCGGCCACCGGCACCGTGAGTGGGGCGCGGGGCAGGGGGGTGGGCAGCCCCTGGGGGCTCAGCCAGCCGGTGCCGCCCCGGGTTCCCCTGCCCGGCTTGGCAGGAGCAGGACAGATCAGACCTGGGTTGGCTGGTGCTGCCCTGGTCTCCCATACCCCACCTGCTGCCCCAGGAACAGCCCCCTCCCATTTCCTACCTCCCCCTCCCTTGCAGGAACTGGCCCTTCCCCTCCACCCAAGAGCAGGCCCCTCCCACCCCCACCAAGCAGGCCCCCCTTAGGCCAGTGGGCGGGGCGCAGCTGTGGGCTCTCCCCCTCCCCCCCACATTTGCTCTCTGCCCGGGAATGTGGCGGGTGGTGTGTGTGCGCAGTGGCTGACACCCCCCCTCCCCCCCGCCGCAGGGCGCCAAGGTGGGGAAGCTGACGCTGAAGACCACAGAGATGGAAACCATCTACGACCTGGGCACCAAGATGATCGAGTCACTGACCAAGGAGAAAGTGCAGGCAGGGTGAGGCGGGGGGGGCGTTGGGTGCTGATGGGTGGGGGAGGGCGGCAGTGGGCAATGGGTGGGACGGGAGGGGCTGGGGCAGGGGGCCAAGGGTGGAGAGCTTGCTTGCTGGGAGGGCAGGAATCCAGCAAGGAGTGGCTCCCCCAAGGGGTCCGTGTCGGGGCTCCCAGTGTAGAGGGGGCTGGGCTCTCCCCCGTCTGCCCTCGCGCACACACCCCCGGCCAGGCCTGACCATCCCCCCATACCTATAAAACGATGGTGTCTAAATGAGCTGTTACCACTCAAGAAAGAGATCGTGGAGTCATTGTGGAGAGTTCTCTGAAATCATCTGTGTAGCAGCAGTCAAAACACGAACAGAATGCTGGGAGTCATTAAGAAACTATATTGCCTCTATATAAATCCATGGCACGACCACATCTGGAATACTGTGTACAGATGTGGTCGCCTCATCTCAAAAAAGATATATTGGGATTGGAAAA